ATTCTGTTTTTCTCTGAGTAAGACTCCATTCTTGCAAAGCTCCATTTTTGTTTTAGCACTGAATGCACTCTAAAACAATGCATGCTGTGAGTCTACTATTGGTATGTTGCCAGTTTCAGCACTTGTGGATGATCCAAGCCCACGTTTATTCTAAATCCAGAGTTGGTGTTTTTTTCAGCATGAACTGGGGAGTATCTAAACAGGGTTGTCCAACCCCACAAACCTCTCTCTGGGTCTGGCATAAGCCCAGATGCTTCATCCACAGTCATCACCAGCATATGGTCAGCCACTACAGAATTCTGCCTGGCTCTGAGCAGAATCACCATAAAAAGGACCAGCATCAGGCTCCATTAACACCATAGTACTGTGTTATACTCTGAGCCCAAAACCTGCCAGGACCAGCATAGCACTATGCTATGGGGTACCTACTGTTGGGATGGGTTCATAGCCCATGACCACTGCAACCAGTAATAGGCGATGCTGGCTGTATCAAAAGACCTATATACTGACAGTCTATAGTCTCTGCTTAAAACCAGGGTTGTTCCATCCACAGAAGGCTTGGGGAGGGGGCCTATTAGGATCTTCCCAGTGTTAGGTTTCATCAGCTGGCCACTGAGTTCCAAGTTAAGTTCCTATGCTTAACACCCTGTCCTACCACAGGTACATGAGTCTTGCTCTACATATGCTATCCAAGTTTAGGGTAGTGTTGGTATTGTCGAACCCAACTTATCATCTAGCCTCAGGAAAATGCTATCCCCAGGCCAGTGTTTGCAGAGTGAACCAACCACTCCACCAGCCCTGGCACCACACAGAGATCAGTGCCTCAAGGATAACACTAAGCTAGGTTTCACCTATGTCTCCTGCAGGGATCTGCAAAATCTCAGAGGTGCACATAGGCTCACCCTGAAGTTGGTGATGATGCAGGCTGAAACATAAGTTTACCACACCAGGATGCATGCAGTTCTCTTTCTAGTGCCAAAGAAGATCTAGAGGCTCCATCTGGGACTACTGGCCTGGGGATATCTCTGCTACCCAAGGTTAAGGGATGGGTGATGGAGACAATCCCTCAGCTGTCAAGGATAATATACCTCAGTTTCTTAGTTGCAGGAACATGAACAATCTGGAAATGGGGATGCGCACCAGGCCCACTCCAAGGCTGGCAATGATGCATACCAAAACTTCAGTCTGTCCCACAAGCCTAGGGGCTCTATCTGCAAGCTCTGGGCTGGATATAGGGGTCTTTGGTTTCTGCCTGATGCTGAGTCTCCCAGGAGCAGGTCTAGCATTGAGCGCCAACATAGTATCCTTGCTAGCTTTTGTGCTCTGCTCCCCAGGAAGTAGAGTATTGTTTTTCTCTTTGCTGCCTAGAATTGAGGAAGCAGTGATATGGGCAACTCTTTCCTTCCTGTCTTCTTCACTGCATTTTATATTAAAATCGGGCACTAAATTCTCTTACCTTGCTTCCTTAGCTCTTGTAAAGATAACTATTTAAAATAAACTGGTATGTCTATGGGGAGACAATCACTGGAGAGTCTTACTCAGCTGCCATCTTGCTCTGCCTCCTATCTCATTATTTTTTAATTTAGTCATTCAGATAGATGAGCAGTATTGTCATTTTTTTTTGTCCTGAGAATTAAACTCAGGGGTTTTACTATGGAGCTACATCCCTAGACATTTTTTTAAAACCTTGAGACAGGGTCTCATTAAGTTACTTAGAGCCTTGCTAAGTTGCTGAGGCTGACTTGAATTGATGATCCTTCTGCCTCAGCCTCCCAAGTCACTTAAACTATAGGCTTACATGCCACTGTGCAGCTATAGTCTTAATTTGCATTTTCCCAATGGCTAGATGAAGCTTAACATCTTTACACATATTATTTGCTAACTATACATCTTCTTCATTAAGTATAAGTCTTTTACTTACTTTCTACCTGGATTCTTTTTTAAATTATTGAGTTTGGGAAGTTCCTTATAAATCCTAGGTATAAGTCCTTTGTCAGATATATGGCTTATCAATATTTTCTCCCAATCTAACACTTGTTTTTTCTTTCTCCTAATAGAGTCTTTCACAGAGCAAAAGGTTTCCAATTGATGAGATCCCATTTTTCTTTTTCCTTTCATAGGATAATATTTTTGGTATAAAGTCTAAGAACATTTACCTAGCCCTAGTTTCTTTTATGTTTTGTTTTCTACAAATTTTATGATTTTAATTTAAATCTATGATCATTTTTGAGGATTTCTTTTTTTATAAACCATACAGTTTAGGTCAAAGTTTGTCTTTTTTTTAAATTCATCTTTGTTCATTCATCTTTGTTTTTAATTTCTCTGGATGTCCAACTGCTCTAGGAACATTTGTAGTAAAATATTGTACCATCATTTTAAAATTTTTCCATTTATTTTGTGCATAATATTTAGTAGCACTGATCATATATATAATGTTGTGCAACCATCACTAATTTTCAAAACTTTTTCATCACTCTAAATAGAAACTTTACAACCCATTAAGTAATAATTCTCCACTTCTTCCTCTGGCTCTCGGTACTTTCTAATCTGCTTTCTGTCTCTATGAATTTGACTATTTTAGATATTTCAAATAATTGGAATCACATAAACGTATCCTTTTTTGTTCAGATTTGTTTCACTTAGTGTACTGTTTTCAAGGTTTATCCATGTTGTAGAAGATTTAATTCACATTTACAGCTAAATATTATCCTATATTGTACATGGGCGAGAGTGGTGTGGCACATTTTGTTTATCTACTCATCTGCTGATGTACTCTTAGGTTGTTTCCACCTTTTTTGGCCACTGTAAATGTTGCTGCAATAAACACGGGCATTACAATTATATACATCTGTTCCAGTCCCTGTTTTCAATTGTTTTAGGTGTGTATCTAGGAGATTAATTGCTAGTTCATATGGTAATTCTATGTTAAACTTTTTGAGGAAGCACCAAATGGTTTTTCATAGCAGCTGTACAATTTTACAACACAACAATGAACAAGTTTTCTGATTTCTCTAAATCCTCATCTATATATTATTTTCCATTTTTAAATCACAGCCCTATTAGTAGATGTGAAATAGTACCTTATTTAGTTTCAGTTACATTTCTGTTAAACAACTGCATGTCATCTTTTGAGAAATATCTATTCAGGTTCTTTGACCATTTAAAAATCAGGTGTCTTTCTGTTACTGAGGTTTTTTTAATATGTTCTGGATATCAGTGAAGCCATTTTATGATAGCTGCTTTAAATTCTTCGGACATAATTACAACTATTTCCTTTGAGACTTTTGTAGGTTTTGGTACGTATGGTATATGATTTTCTACTTTTGTACCTTAGGGTCTTCTTTCACCTCTTTTCATAATTAACCACATTTACTACTTAGTAGTTCTTGATATTAAATTTTTCCTATTCAAATTACTGGTGTGGGTTTCATGTCCTGAATGGATCTTGAATGATATGGGAATTGGGGTGGTAATAAAGTTTTGGGTTATGACCATGAATGTGGTGGAGATATGTGGAAAAAATCATAATTGGAAACAAAATTGTCAACAGCAGAGAAATTAAGGAGTTGGAAGGATCATCTATATCAAAGTTGAAGTCACAGAAGTAAGAGAACAGAGAAAGACAATGTTCCATGAGTTCATTGGCTCAGAACCTTTACCACATTATATCCATGACCATCGGGCAGTTCCACAAATGACTCTAGGAGCTCTGCTAGAATAATAGTTTTAATCCCGATTCAAAACATCCTGTGCAGAACAGGTATCATTGTTAGGTAATGTCAAGAATCCCACTCTGGGATGAGGAAATCAATTCTAATCTTTATTTATCATGTACCATCTAGTCTTATGACCTGAGCCGTACAATTCTCATCTTTGGATCCAGTTTCAACATCACAGTTTCCTCTGCAAAATAAAATGTTCATTTCTTTTCTGTTTGTCTCACAGAATGACTATGAAGAGACCTTGTGCACATCACATAGACTAATAGAAACTTCTGTTAGAAATGAAGTATTTCTACTTTCTCAACTACCCTGGTACATGCATTCTACAGAGAAAACGTTCTTTTTCCTCTGTCCCTGATCTAATTCAAGTCTCCCTTTGTCTTCCCTTGGACCATTTTTACATTCTGCTATCTAACTCCCAGATAACTCTTTCTAAAACCATGAGGTGATCTAAAATTTCTCATGGTTTCCATTACACATTTAGGGATCTCCATGAACCAGCCTTGGTAAGCCTTAAAAACACACCTCTTCCTCATATAGCTGCTCCTATCTCCAAAGGAGATATACATATACATATAGGACAGTTCAATGATCTATAAACTTATTATTTCTCAGTAAGATGCTTTAGAATAAGCTGATACATGTCTGGAATGTTCTCCTTCCCTGATCTCTGGTTGGTAAAATAATATTTTTCCTTGAAGGCTCAAACCATATAGATAGAGTATATGGATTTTTTTCTTTCTTTCACAGATAGGAGGTAACCTCCTCTTCCACTAAGGCTCCTTCTATACTTACATATTCTTTTCTGGAAGGCTTTTGACACAAATAGCCTTATTCTGTGATTATTTGTAAATATGTCATGTCTTCTTCATTAGTTGGGAATAATTCTTTAACTTGACCATATCGTATTCATTTGCATCTCCCCAGCACTCAGAAGAACTAGAATATAATAGGTGTCTAGGGAATGTTAATTAAATAAATTACGAAGGCAACATACAGGTTAACTTGTAAACATGGTTTGCAATAGGGACAAATTTGAATTATGTGTGGAAACTACACAGAGTACATCCAGTTTGTAAATCCATGGTTAAGAATATGGAGGTACAGAGGTATAGTTTGTAAGAGGGGTATGGTTCACTTACGTAATATGTGTTTATGTGCCATATGGACACAGGTGAAATGCCCCAAGTCTTTCTCTCCCTATATCTTAGGCCAGGCTGATTCTCTACCAATGGATATATCCCCTCCTGTCCTCTATCCTAGTCCCTACTTTCCTACCTTACATGTATGTCAGTCTCCAGTCCATATGCCCCTTGTTCAACAGCTTTCTCAAAGGCCATCACGGTATTCTCTGGCCCTGCCTGTGGAAAAAAGGAACATCAGGCCCTGTGCCTCAGAGTCTTTCCTCTCAAAATCCCTTTTGTGGTAAGGATGAAGTCCAGGAATGAAAGGGCTTTGGGAAGCAGACCTCGGCTTCCTTAGAACTCTGTTCAAAGATCCTGTCTGTATTCCTCTCTGTCCAATCTGACATTGGACATAGCAAAGAGAATTGGACAGGAAATTAGAAAACCTGGGTTCAAATCAAACCTCTACAATTAACTCCTTATTCTCGTCATATCAAAGCAATTCTTGTTCTCTCTAGGGATTTGTATGGTTCCGAGCTTTCCTCTTCTCATCTACATGCCCTGTACATACCTGTACTCATCCATGTTTATCCTGCTCATACTTACCATGGGTGCACCTCTGTGTGCAAAGAAGACAGGCTTAGGCCCCAGCTCCTCCTTCTCCTGAATGCAGGGAGAATAAACCCCCAATGGCATTGCATACAGGCACAAAAGGATAAGAAAAAAGGGCAATCCAGCAACAATTTGTAGAGCTAAAAGAGTTGGAAGGAGAGGGAAGTGGAATAAAAGTGAACAAATGGAAAGCCATACCAAATAACACTACTCTAGCAGCAGTCTAAGTAAATCCTGGGACCATGGGTTTCACTGTCTCTGTGGACTGGCTAATTTACATTCCATTTCTGTTACATCCCCACTTACTTTCAGGGATAGACACAAACATCCAAACATAAGACATTATTATTAAGGCAACGTTACTCTAACTAAAAATTGACAAAGAATTGTAGAGAGGGTAGGTAAAAAGGAAAGAAGGGAAGGAAGGAAAAGGAAAGTTAAGAAATAGCTTCTCAAGAGGAGAAGTTTGTTTAGTTCTAAAAAAGCCCTGAAGCCTATATAGATCATACTAAATCCTTAGGGCAGTGCAGTATAGTGGAAAGGGCACTAACTGACAGAAATATGGATTCCAAGCCAGGTTCTATCACTTCCTAATTGTATGACTAAGAACATCTGACTTAACCTCTTTGAGTCTTCATTTTCTTTTGTAAAACAGGATGCCTTGCTGCTAACATCAGCCTTACAGAGTTGTTATAACCACATTGACTCATAATAGTTACTCAATAAATTCTAGTTATTTTCTTTCCTCCTTCCCTTCCTTACCACATACATGCATTTCCACATGCACAGACATACACACACACACACACACACACACACACACACACACACACACACACACACACACACACAGAGCCTGTTCATAAACCCATTATTACAGTCATTTCCCAACACTTACTATTTTAGACCTTTGAGGACTTTACCCATTTGTACATTTTAAGTTACAACCTATGCTTCAGTGACTTTCAAATCTATGTCTCCAGCTCTAACCTCTTAACCTTGTGAATATATTACATCTCCTGAGTCTTGCTTTCTCATAAGGTGTTATCTTGCGTCTTCTTTTTATAACTAAAATTTAGAAAATGAAAAAGAAAAGAGTTTATTATTGTCCTTTTTAAACTCCTGCCCCAGAAGTAATTTCTAAAATTTTCCTCTCACCCACACCACACAAATACACTAAATAAACATACAATGGCACCACTATCAAATCAGACGGTCTCTTACCTGCATCCCTCCACAAGCCAAGAAGTAAATGCCCCTTACTGAACCAAGAGTAAACAGGGAGATACAGAAAGAAGATCCTATGGTTTCTCAGTAAGGATGGTAAAAGATAACTCCATTCTCAAAAAGTTTAGTGTACAGATTTCATTTTCTTCCGTTTCTGTTACAGTAGGGGAAGGGTAAATGGAGAGGAAACCAGTGGCAGAGAAATTTCTGTTCCCATTGTAAGACCCCAGATATGACAGGGATTCACAGGGGCCTTCTTTGAATAACTTGGATGTAATCAAGGATCTTTGGACCTAGTGTTACTTGAATTAGTAACATCTGAATACAAACTGAAGGAACTGTGACTTGCACCACACTCTGGTCAACAATTTAAATGGCCTTTTGTCTCCCTAGAGTAGATATACAATAACATAAATATACAACTTATTTTTTCTAGAACAAAGATCTTTAGAAGAAGATCTGCTTCCTCATGGAAACAGTATATGGAAACAGTATGACAGGCCACATAGAGTAGTGAGTAAACATAAGAAACATGCCTATGTAACAAGCTAAAGGAATTTCAAAGAGTATAGGGATGGCTATCTACCAAGTTTCTATTTTTCTGCATAGAGTATGTAAGCTAAAGCCAGAATTGAAGGGATCAGGCAAGAATCCACCCCAAATGACATACCTTCTCTTTCCAAACAGCTCACATACATGGCCAAAGGCCAGGAAAGGATCACCATCACAATTATGCTGATCGGCTGTACAACAGGTGCAAAGATCTGGGAGAAAGTCAAAAGTCAGGCTAGACATATATGGACAGATAGTACTAAGAGCTACAGGATGATGCTTACCTGCAGTGACAGCCCAGCTATCAGCCACTTATCTTTCCAGAATATGCATATAACAGACAGTATAAAGGTGCATAGTGTAATCATTATCATAATCAGGATCTGGGGAAACAAAAAGGATCTTCTGACTTGTAGGCACCAAGTTTGGGAATTTTATGTGTATATTTACAATATCAGGGACCTCATCTCATCCTTTTAATCTAATCATCCTACAAATTACAATGGTGGATTCAATCATTCACTTTAGCTCCTCAGTCTTTGCTGTACAGCATAATGGAAAAAAATTACACAATTATGTGGCTTAATGTATTATTAATTTATCATCTCTAGTCTCAGTCTTCAATATGGCTTGGTATCTCTCAGTTTCAACAACAGTCACTACAAATCCTCACTTTTTCTTTAAATCTCAACTCAATTAGATTTTAAGTAAAAGATATTTTGAAATTACCTTTTTGACATCTGTCTTCCTCGACAGAGTATAAGCATCACAAGATCAAGGACATTTATATTATTTATGATTATATCCTCAGTGCCTTGAAGAATATCTGGCACATGGTAAGCATTCAATAAATATTTGTTGAACAGATGAAAAATAATCTGCCTACCAGAAGACTGGTTTATAAAGAAAGGACATAAAAACTAAGACATAATTTTAACTTCTTCTACTTCAAATGTATAGTTTTCCTAAATGTGTGCTGCTATCTAGATAGTTCCTTCCTTTCCATGGTCTAGCTAAAGTAATTAAACGTATAATTAAACCTCTCGCAAAATAACTTTTTGCTAGCTCCAGTGGTGAATTCTACCAAATACTTCTGAAGAAATGTCTCCAAACTTTTACAAATTCTTCCAGAGAATAAAAGAAATAATTTCTAACTTTTCTTATAAAGCCAACAAAATAGTTATATCCAAATTTAATAAAAGCATTGTAAGAACAAAATAGAAGACATGGATATCTTTTATGCATATCGACGCAAAAATCTTATTAGTAAACTAAAAGCATTACATCACAAAGGTCAAATCAGACTCTTAAGAATCACAGATCTTACTGAACAACAAACTTCACAAATTATTTAAATGATTCAAACAATCATGAGATACAGATAAAATATGTTCCCTTAGAGAAATCTAATCATGTCAAATATAGCTATTCATTTTAAAAAAGTCTTTCCTCCATTAGTGATGCATCCTGCTTTAGGACTTAATTATGAGATGTGTTTTGAGCAAAATATATAAAAACACTGCTTTAAAGAAGGAGCCATTCTGGTTTTGAAGCATCCTTACTTGTTAATCCATTAATCTTACAACTTTAGCAAACCATGTCTTCCACAAAAGAAATCTATATATTCCAGCAAAGGTGGAATCTATTAAGATTTATATATTTACAGCAAAGGTACCTAGATATACCCAGTCTATTCTATTAGAAATGTTCAAAGAAAAGGACTCTGTTATCTTTTGGTTAATAAATACTTTAAATGTATTTACTAGGAGGTCAGATTATTAGCATGATTAAAAGGAGTTTTGACTGAGGCCATTCATTCATCTCTGGATATTCCTACATAGAAGATGAAGGGGTTATGAGCTTGGTATAAATTCTTTCTTCCTGGGTTTATTCTGAGAAAAACAAAACTAAAATTCCAAGCCTCACAGATTCTAGTGGCTTCAATTTCCATCATTCTAATAACTCTAAAATTTATGTTTTCATTTGTACTTGTCATATGATAACAGACTTAAGGACATTACTTAAATGTTCTCAAATTTGAGAAAACCAAGTATGATATCACTATCATGCCTGAAGAAGTTCATAAAAAAGCAAGAGGCTGTCACTAGAACTGCTTAAGCCCATGGCAAAATAAGGGAGGCTATGCTGGAAATATGGTGTAGGTTCACAGATGATTGAATCAAGATGCCCATTCTCTAGGGCCAGATATGTACCTTTTTATTTTTTTAATATTTATTTTTTAGTTGTAGATGGATACAATTGTTGAGAGCCACAGCCGAAGGGGCCCCAGCAAACTTCCAGCTACCAGCAAACTTCCAGCTGCCAGCAGATAATTGGCTCACAGCAGCCCCAGCAAACTTCTAGCTGCCAACTGATTGGCTCCTCTGCGGTGATGCTCATTGGGCTGTTTCCCCGCCCTTTCAGACCACGGAGCTGCTCATTGGGGGACTTTTTTGGCTCCGCCCACACGACCCAGCCAATCAGCCTCAAGAGGAGGGAGGGAGGTTGAGAGGCTTGTGGGAAGCCGGTGGTGGCAGTTGGGCTCTGAAGGTTTTCCTGAGGAGCTGTGTGGTGTGGTGTGTTTCTAAAAATAAAGTTCATTTCTTTTGACAAGTGGCTCCTGAATTGTGCCCAGCCAGACTGCGGCATACAATACCTTTATTTTATTTTTATTTTTACATGGTGCTGAGGATCAAACCCAGGTCCTCACACATGCTAGGCGAGCGCTCTACTGCTGAGCCACAACCCTAGGCCTAGATATGGGCCTTTTGAGATTAAACCATGCTAGTATCATTTTTTTTTTTTGGTATTTATTTATTTATTTATTTTTATTTGTAGTTTTAGGTGGAAAACTAAAACCAAAATATCTTTTTTATTTTTATGTGGTGTTGAGGATCAAACACAGCACCCCGGGCATGCCAGGCAAGTGTGCTACCGCTTGAACCACATCCACAGCCCATATTTATTTTTATTTTGTTTTAATTAGTTACACGTGGCAGTAGAATGCATTTTAACACACTGTACACAAATGGAGCACAATTATTCATTCCTCTGGCTGTACATGTTTATAGGGTAAAAATGTCTTTCTCATTCTACAGTCCTTCCCATCCCCATTCCCCAAGCCCTCCACCCTTTCCCCTCTGCACAATCCAGAGTTCCTTCACTCTTCCCTACCCATTATCAGAGAAAACATTCGGCCTTTGGTTTTTTGGGGTTTGGCTTATTTCACTTAGCATGACATTCTTTAGTTCTACCCATTTACCTGCAAATGCCATAATTTCATTCTTCTTTAAGCCTGAATTATATTCTATTGTGTATATTTACCACATTTTCTTTATCCATTCATTTGTTGAAGGCCATCTATGTTGGTTCCACAGTTTAGCTATAGTGAATTGAGCTTCTATAAACACTGATGTGACTGAGTCACTGTAGTATGCTGATTTTAAGTCCTTTGAGTATAAACCAAGGAGTGGGATACTTGGGTCAAATGGTGGTTCCTTTCCAAGTTTTCTGAGGAACCTCCATACTCCTTTCCATAATGGCAGCACCAATTTGTTGTCCTACCAGCAATGTATGAATGTACCTTTTCCCCCACATCCTTGCCAACATTTATTATTACTTGCAATTTTGATAATTGCCATTCTGACTGGAGTGAGATGAAATCTTAGGACAGTTTTGACTTGCATTTCTCTAATTGCTAGAGATAATGAACATTTTTTCCATATGTTTGTGGACTGATTGTATGTCTTCTTCTGTGAAGCATCTGTTCAGTTCTTAGCCCATTTATTGATTGGGTTTTGTGGCTTTATGGTGTTAAGTTTTTTTGAGTTCTTTATATATCCTGGAGACTAGTGCTGTATCTGAGGTGCATATGGCAAAGGTTTTTTTCCTATTCTGTAGGCTCTCTCTTTACATTATTGATTGTTTCCTTTACTGAAAAGAAGCTTTTAAGTTTGAATCTGTCCCATTTATTGGTCCTTGATTTTATTTCTTGTGCTTTAGTAGTCTTGTTAAGGAAGTCTGGTCTAAAGTTGATGTGATGAAGATTTGGGCCTACTTTTTCTTTTATTAGGCACAGGGTCTCTGTTCTAGTGCTACTTTTGAGTTGATTTTTATGCAGGGTGAGAGATAGAGGTTTAATTTCATTTTGCAACATATGGA